ATAACTGCTAGTAGATAGATGGACCCAGGGATTGACTCAGTATGAAGCAACTTCATATGTTCAGGGTTTGATGAGCCTGGCTGCCAGGCTCTAGTTGACTGCTGCTTTTCCCCTTGCATCTGAGCCCACAGTACTTTGTCCACTCTCTCCTGCTGCCACTGCTAGTCCTCCTTCCTCACTCTATCCTTCCCTTCTCTTTACCTCCCACCCTGTAATTCTGGGGTGGCAAATGCTTATGCGTAACTGTAATGATGGTGGGGAAAGTTGCTCTACTGCAGAAGTGCTGCCTTTGAACTGCTTGATGTGTGTGCTCTATTTTTTAAAACACCCAGCTTTTGAAGAAAGAAGAGTCCCTCACTCAAATGGAGAGAGAACTGGAAGCCTCTAGGAAAGAACTCTCCCATGCTCGAGAAGACCTACAGGCCTCTAACGCTTTGTCCTCCCGTCTGGCTGCCGAGTTGCAGGAGCTACGGCAGCAGTATGCGGGCCTGGAGGCAGAGAGGTGGGAAGGGTCAATCTTGCCTCTGTTTTTTCTGCTTGGTTCTTGGTGTGAGCATGTTGTGTGGTGGGAGGGCTTGTGTGCCTGAATTCTTGGGATGATTGGGTGGATGTGGGGGAATTCCTTTGGGTTAATGCTGTCAGATGTCTTTGGGTTGTCTGGGATGACCTTAGAGTGAATTGGCATTGGTGGATTGTTGTCTTCACTCTGGATGAAGAGATGTTGGGGGAACTCGGGCCTGAATGACTGAAGCCTCATGGTCTGAGGCTTTCAAGACCTGGCCTACTGATGAGCTAGTTTAGACTGCGGGTGTTATTGGGGTAGCCACCCATTGCCCCTGCCTAGGTCTGATCTCTCTGGACTAAATCCCACCCCCCACACTGGCCAGTGTTATGAATTTATGAAAACTGCTGAAAGGTATCGGTTACCACAATATCCAGCTCCACCATTCACTGCCATTGACCTTCTCTTTGGGTCTCTATCAGGGAGAATAGGTAAAGGTAAAGGTTCCCTTGCTCGAAAGCCAGTTGAATTCGACTCTAGGGTTTCGGTGCTCATCTCCGTTTCAAAGCCAAAGAGCCAGCGCTGTCCGAAGTCATTTTCATGGTCATGTGGCCGGCTTGACTAAACACCAAGGCGCACGGAACGCTGTTACCTTCCCACTGAAGTGGTACCTATTTATCTACTTGCAGGGAGAATAGTGGGGTATAAATAAATATTCATGAAAAAACCTTGCAAACCAGTGGACAGCTAGCTCTTTGTGTGTGAGTGATGAGAACCTGCGATCTCATCACTTGCAGCTGTTGACTCCTTGAATGTGCAAAGGCTTTAAGAATGTTTCCCTTCCTAATTGGCCTTGGAGCTTTTGGATACTACAGAAGAGCTAGGAAAGAACCAGTTAACTCTTTGTTACATTGGCTCATCTTTGGCCATTGGGTGAACTTCTTTCCTTTTTGCAAAGGGATGTGCTCTTAGACGCAGAGGAGAGTGCAGAGAATAAGATTACCAACCTGGAGCAGCGGGGCCATGAACTTCAAGTGTACATCCAGCAGATGTCAGTAGATCTTCAAAATGTAAGCTGGGAAATGCTTGTGTTTCTCCCTTCAGTGTTCATCCTTCCTTGCTGGCAGAGAACACTGCCACAAGCTACTGTGCCCCTGATGAATTCACATTTAGTAGCATGCCTAGGTTTGCATCCAAGAAATGGATGACACAGCTTAATAGCCGGGTGGTTTACCTCTAAGTGAAGTTCACAGTTGTGCAAAGAATTAGCAACTCATGAATGATCCAAGAGGCAGCTAGCAATGAGGAGTGATTGGAAGAGCGGGGTGGGGGTGGTGAGAATTGTCAGGATGAGAAGCATGCCCCTCCCAGACAGTCATCTTACTCAACCTTGGCTGGATAAATTAGCTCCAAAGCAGTGGAGTTGTGGTGGCTCTATTTGCAAACGTTTGATTTTGAAGGTTTTTCTCTCTGATATTCTAGGCTCAGGTTACTGCCTCCAGTTATGAGAAGACATTGGAAACATTGCAGGCAGAACACGAAGCTCTGAAACTGGAGTATGAACAGCACAAGCAAAAGGTATGTCCTGGAACTTCCCATGCATGAGCACTGCAAACAACCAAAGACAACACCAAGTGCTTGAGCTATGCCAGAGGGAAGACCAAAACATTGGGCCAATGTACCTGTGCAACACTAATGTCTGTATTATCAGATTTCCAGAGCCACCAAAGCTGGAGCTGGTGGATGTTGATCTGTTCCTGATGCATGTTACAGGAGTGCTTTCGGCATAGTTTTCATGAACAAGATGACCTGCTGGGGTTATACTGGTTCTTGTTTTCTGGTACAATTTCTACAGCAGCTCTCGGAAGTTCTGCAAAAGAGCTGTCCCTCCCATCTTAATTGCTGGAGAGGGCTGTTCCCATATTCTTGCTGAGAAGTGCCTGTTTTGGTTGAAAGCTTCCTCTTTCCCCCTCTCCACTAAGCAGTTGACTGCAGAGCAATGATGTGTCTCTTGGGTGTTCCAACAGATGATTGGCGAAGTGGAGGAGAAAAACCAGCTCATGGGACACTTGCAAGGGAAACTGACCACTCTGGAGAAGCGATTGGAGGGGAACCTCTCTGGTGACGAACATGTACGGGAGCTGCTCCAGGAGGTAAGGAGTGCGTCACGGGTAGCATTTGGAAAGGATGTCAAGGCAGTGCACTAAGGACACGTAATTTTTTTTTGCATGGCATACCTTATCCTTAGCACCTTCTGAGGCCAGTGGAGCTTGCTTGTTCACACAAGTTCTTGCTCTGCAAGAGTACCCAGCTTCAATGGGTGTGCTTCCAGACTGGGTGCTGGCTTCCATAGAGGCTCTGTGGCTCCCTCTATGAGTGGCCTTTGTGAGTGGGCCACAGGGTGTGTCAGTTCCTTTGTAGTGCAGCTTGGGCTATAATGGCCGTTTGTGTTTTCTCCAGAAAAGTGCTCTGGAACAGCAGCTAGAGAGTGCCCTGCAGCAGCTTTCAGCAGCACGGACGAGTCACGCAGAGAGCGTGAGCCTCTTGGAGACTCAGGTATGCCTGCTGGACAAGGACTTTGTGTGAGAAAGCTACAGGATTCATACATCCTGAAGGACCATTCTTGACTTGGCAAATGCAAGTCTTAATTTGAAAAGTGGTTAGCATTGGAATCTGCTTTTAGTGCCACAGCTCAGGCCTGGGATTTGTGAGAGTGTAATTATTGTCTCTGAGCATGTGCAGAGCATCTCTTTCAATGCCAGCCCCATGCATTAGGGATTAAGAGAAACAATTTCCTGGGGAGAAAATCTGATCGTGTCTCTTAAATGAAATAGAAACTGGATTTGTAATGTTAATGTAAACGTATCCTTGAGAAGGGACAGGGGAAATAAACATATCTTTCCCTTCATGTTGAGAACTTAAATGCACCTTCAGGACACTTGCATGGAGTTCTGGCTCCAGGTGTGGGAATGTCACGTCTTTGAATGTCTCCCCCCCGCACTCCCTGCACTTATAGAACTGTCGTGTCAGGGAGGACAACCCATGTAGAGGTGGGCACGGGTATGTTATCCTGCACTTGAAGGGTGAAGCGATGGAGCTTGTGAAATCTTTCCTAATTATGCATCTCTGCACAGTTGAAGATAGTGACTTGATGCAGACATGGCACTGAGAGAAGGGAACTTAGCTATGGCTGGACATGGTGTTTAAACTGACAAGCTATAGTTTGTGGTCAGCTGGCATGCCAGAACTGGAACTCATGGATTGGCTAGCAAACTGTAGTTGGTGCTAACTATAGACTGGTATGGTGCCTGAATTGACAAATCAGAGTTGCAGCTGTTGCTCTCCTCCCAGATGCTGGGCATGAACTTATGTTTGTAGAAGCACTGAGAGGACAGCAAACACAAATCGACAAGCAGTTCTAATCCACAGCTGGTCTGGGAAGTTCAAACCATGACTTGAGCCAGAGCATGTTGCATCCTAGATCCACCAACTGAATTGCAAAGTAACAGAAGGGCAGGCGCAGCTGAGTGAGAGGGAAGAATCCATGCGGAGCATCCAGGAGAGCAGTTTGCACCAGGTAGAGGCAATGTGAGCCTGTGTCTTTCTTTTCTCCTTTTGTCGTGAATGGGGGTGGCTGTACCGGAAGTCAGTGGAGGGTTTTGGACCAGAAATGAATGTTTGTTCATCTTGCAGCTGAAAGGTCTGGAACAAGCCCTCCGGCTTGCCAACGAGGCAGCAGCAAAAAGTAAAGATGATGTCATAGAGAGAGAGCAGCAGATCCAAAAGCTGGTAAGTGGGAGGGGAAAAATAGATATTGAGAGCTTTAGCAGACGGAGTGAGTAAGGAATTTCTCCCCTTCCTCCCTGGCCAAGGAAGGGTGCAGGGATTATTCATTGCATTTTTATCCTGTTCATCTTCTATCATGGACATCCAGGCAGCACATTCTGTTACTGTCTGGCTTCAGACTAAATTGGTTTGTACTCATATAAAATAAACCTGAAAGATGTGTCAGAGTAAAGCTTGCCAGTTGGGTAAGGAAGGCCAAACAAGCTATTTTTTAACATAACAGTGCATAAGATTCACCAGGAGGCTGAACAGGCAGCATATAAACATCCTAAATAAACAAATGTATAAGCACATGTGCACACATCTTCCTTCTGGCACCTGTAAGATTGATGGAACTGCCTGCTTCTCTTTTTCTCTTGGCAGCAAGCAAACCTGGATCTGGAAATCATCAAATCAGAGGAAGCCGTCTCTGCTGTGAAGCATCAGTGTGCCGAGCAGGTCAAAAGACTTGAGGAGCAGGTTGCTACCCTTGAAGCAGCGCAAGAAGCTGAAAAGGCAGGTGCCCAGCACAAGATTGTGAGTACCATGTGCAAATCAAGAATCTGTGAACTGGAGAAACTTTGCTAGTCATGGGAGTGGCAAGGTTACCAAAACTTTGTTCCCAACTACTGAATCTTCTTTCATTCTCTGGCTTCTGGAATCTCTTTGGTCATCATCCACAAACATTGAAGCAAATCCGCCCAGCCATAATGGCGAGAAACTTGAGCATTTTGAGGCCCTAACTAGATGTCATGTCTGACAGGAGTCAGATTGGGGTTCCCCTGAGTCCAATTCAGTCCTTTTAAGTCAGACAAGACATCAGGGAACTAATGTTCCCAAATGCACTAGGGCCCAATTTGGCTTGGGCACTTGGCACTGCAGGAGAAAGTGGCTTCAACCTCCCCCCCCCCCCCCCCCCCGGTCATTTTCCTGAGCCGAAATGGGGGAGGGGCATGCCCCACTGTGGGAGTTGCATGCGCATCTGAAATGAGTTAGGTTAGGTAATTAGCTTGGTAATGAGTGACTAAAATGGACTCTGGTCCTTCACCTCATTGCTGCTCCCCTCTTGTCAAATTTTGTCCCCAGCGTCAAATTTTTTATTTCCTTGGGACAGGGATGTCTTGCCTTGCAGTTTGTAAAGCACCATGCCCATAAAAGGTGCTGTATAAATAGCAATATTCATCTTGATGAAGCAGTCCATTGCTTTCCCACTTCGTTAGAGCCAACTAGAGAAAGAAAATGAAGAACTGAAAGACAGCCACAGAGAATGTGAAAGCTCTTCAAGGAGGCAAGAGTCAGAATTGGAAAGGTTAAAGGTACGGGCAAGAAGAGGATGGGTGGGCTGGAGCTCTGTGTTCAGCCAGATGGAAGCTGGGGTCCTGTGGCTGGATTGGCAGCGTGACCAATGTTCTGGCAGTGCAGCAGAGAAGACAAAGCCCAAAGGTCAACGCAAATTACCATGTCATACTCCCAGACCTAGATAGCTCAAGCTAGCCTGTTCTCGTCAGATCTCGGAAGCTAAGCAGGGTCAGCCCTGGCTAGTATTTGGATGGGAGACCTCCAAGGAATACCAGGGTCATGATGCAGAGGCAGGCAATGGCAAACCACCTCTGAAACCTTTCTTGCCTTAAAAAAAAGAAGTCTAGCTTGCCACCTAGTGGTGCATAACACTAAAAGAGCTACAACTTCTGGTTGCCAGACAATCGTAGGATCTCCTGGCTATTCTACACACACTGCCATAAAATTATTATTATTATTACCAAATCATAGAGCCAGCTAGCTAGTTTCGAGGCCAGCTGGTCTAAAGGGAGGGAGTTTGAGAGACTTCATTTTTATTCTGTAAATGTTTATTTCTCTATCCCATCCCAGACAATGTGGAAATGAAGGGCAGGGTGGGGGTGCTTTGACTGGAAGTCGATTTGCAGGGCTTCCAGCAGAGCAAGGTCTTTCCCAAAAGGTGCTATCTGAGATCTTTTAACCAGAGAGGCCAAAAATGGAAGAACTTGTGTCTCCAGCACTGGGGAAAGAAGTTTTATCTTCTTGAGACCCTGGAGAGCGGCTATCAAAAACTGGGCTAGATGGCACTGATAGTCTGGCTGCATGAATGGTCTGTTTGCTGAAGTGGTTAGGACCCAGTTTGGTGTAGTGGTCAGGAGCGCGGACTCTAATCTGGGAGAACTGGGTTTGATTCCCCACTCTTCCACATGCAGCTGCTGGTGTGACCTTGGGTCATTTACAAGATCTTTCAAAGCTGTTATTTCAGGAGCAGTACTTGAGAGAGCTCTCTCAGCCCCCCCTTCCTCACAGGGTGTCTGTTGTGGGGGGGGGGACAAGAGGTTGTAAGCCACTCTGAGACTCCTTTGGGTAGTGAAGGGCGGGGTTTACATCCAATCTCTTCTTCTTCTTCATATAAGGGGTTCTCAAGGCAGTCTGCCATCCAGGTACTGGTCCGGCCCGGACTCGTTTAACTTCAGAAATAGAATTTCTTCAAGCAGTAGGTGTAAGGAAATCTCCGTTACGGAAGACTTCTGCTTTTGCTTGCTTTCTTCATTCCTCAGTGTTCTTGTTGACAAGTCATTATATGGGATGACAAGTTCACATGTTTGTGCTATAGAAGCATTTGATAGAAATTTCACCCAGATAAAACTGGCTAGAATGGAGGAGGGGGAACTGGCTGGAGAGAGGCATCTTCCCCACTGCTCTCAACTTGATGTCACTCTTAACTTTCCTTCATCAGTAATGTCACGATTCTTGCTCTTTTGTAGGCAGAATTAAGCAGCAGAGAAACAGTCAGTGTTGAAATTGCTAAAGCCCTGGAAGAGACACGGAAACACAAGGAGGACTTACAGCAGCAGGTGAGTCTGTGCAGCTAGTACTCCACTGAGGGAATCTAGAGCATCCGCTATGCAAAGTGGTTTGTGGTGTGACCCCCAAGCTAGCCATTGGCTTACTTAGACTTGACGTGTTTCTGCATGGGTTATTTGCTCTGAGTTCAATGCTGTGGGGAAGTGGGTTTTTTCTGCTTCTCCAGAGCATTGTGGTGCATTTGTGCACCCCCTGAGGTTTCCACAGATTTGTTCTGATCTTTTGCAAATCTGCTTTGCTCTAAAAGTTTTGGGAAATACCACAGCAAAGCCTGAGTGACTACCATATGAACGGAAAACTTTGCATTTTCCTGATCTGCCCACTTCCCCCACAGTGGCTGTTTCCTGTCCCTACTGCAGAAGGTTTTTCTTTTTTTGATCAGCAATTTAATAGTGTCATATTGACGTACCATTATACCAAAATATGCATCAGGTTCTCTGAATTCCCAGCTTTCATGTTTTTTAAAAAGCAAGTCTCTAGCCTCCTTGCTTGCAGAGATGTATGGAAAAAGCATCTCTCTCCAATGAAACGGGCTAGAAATTAACTTCTTTTAATAAAAGGAAAGCTAAGAACACACAGAACCAGATGCATATTTTAGTATAATGATATATCATTAACATCATTGCCGAGTAAAAAAAACTATAAGGAAAACATGCTGTATGGAAGCTGCATCGCTTGTCTCTGTGTCGAAAATACCTTGGTAGACATTTTGGTCAGACTGTAATCACTCAAAGGAATCTGCCTGCTAAGAGAAACTGGGAATTGTGAAGTTCCCTCTCCAGAACAAACCTGTTTTGGAGATCACCTGGTAAAGTAACTGATTGCCCAATTTGCTTCATCATCCAGTCACTATATGCGATAGCCTTTTTAGCAGTACTGGGGATAGAAGGACACGACTGGTGCCCATTTGTTCTTTCTCATAGCAGTGTTGGTTTTGCACCTGCCTCCTGCTGTTCATGAGGAAGGCTGCCTTGAAGCTTTCACCCAATGGGGTAGGCTGTTGTGCAGTAAAACCTGCCTCTGCCCAGCAAGGAGAAGTCGGAGACAGTAGCCCTTCTGTTGCAAGGCTCTGCAAGGATGTTAGCTTTTGGGCCTTTTTACTATTCCACGTTTCTGTAGCACCAGTAGGGCTTGGGTGCCACACAGAACATGGAATTGGCTGGAGAGTTCATAGTAAATGCTGGAATGAAAAAAAAAATTGATAATGTTTGAGGGGCATGCTAGAGAGAGTGTGGAGATGCTGCTCAGAATTATTCAAGGCAAGCTTTTAAAAGAATTTGAGCAGAATTTGAAGGAGGAAAAACAGACTAGAGAGGGACAGGAGTTCTAAGAGACGAAGGGACAGGCGGTGAGGATGAGCTTTACAAGGTGAAGGGGCTGACGTGTGTACTTGTACATAGCCCAGTATTTTGCCATTCATGACTGAACAGTCTTTGTTTGAAAAGCCTTGTGTGCAAAGGAGATAACATGAGCTCTGTCTTTGGCAGTTGATTTGTGATGGTTGTTTTCACGCATTCTAGTTGAACCAAGTGATTAAAAACTGAAAGCCATGTGTGAATCTACCCATAGTCATGAGTGGAGAATATATCAAGTGAAGACCATGAGCTACATCTTAACTCCCCTGGACCTATTCTTGTGTTTTAGGTTGCAGACCTGTCCTTGTCACTGAAGGAGAAGGACTGGCTGATTATGGATAAAACTGACACGCTCCTGAAAAAGGAGGAAGAGCTGAATGGCTTAAAGCGAGGTGAGGCCCAGCAGATCCTGACTACTACTGGCAGGATGGTGATGCCATGGTAACCTGCCCCCCTCCCCCCTCCTGTGACTCTGATGCCTCCTAACTCAACCTCTGCCCATTTTCAGTTCATTTCCCAGGTCTCTTGACAGCTGCCTGTCTCTGGCACACAGGCCCTGGCATTTGCTCACTTTCTGGTGGTGGTGATTGGCTGTAAATTGTGTCATCTGGATTATAATCCATAAATTAATGTTCACTTCAGGCATGGGGGGGGCACTTCAGGTTTAATGCTAGACTCTTGTTTCAGTGCTTGGCCTCGAGATGTGTGCTAGAAAAGTATGTCTGAGCATGCGTGAAGTGCTTTTTTTCTGATTAACCACAACCAGTCCGGGATGAAGGAAAATTGCAGAAAGCCCAATCAGACTGGCCTTCAGCTTCTTGCCTGTAAAAGGAGTCAATGCATGAAGCTCCTGGTACCCCTAAATGGAACCACCTACACACACATGCACACTCTTGGTGTTCCTCTCTCTGCTGTCCCGAGAGATCCATGGCAGAGGAGCTGTTCATAAAGAAACAACACTTCTTCTGACTTACTCTGGATGTGGGGAAGAACAGCATCTGCACTCCAACATCTCCACCCATGTATTGACCCAGAGAGCGGCTCTGTGGGAAGCTCTTTCTCTGAATCCACTTCTTGCTGTGTCCCTCTGCTCCAGGCCACGAGGAGCTTCGGCTGCAGATGCAGCAGTCGCAGACCGACCTCGAGTTGTGCCAGCGACAGGCTGCAGAGAGGGAAGCTGTGATGGGAGAGCAGATGAGCACTTTGCAGGAGCAGCTACAAGAGCAACAGGAGTGCTGGCTGGCCAGCAAGAGCCAGGTGAGCAGATGTGCCTTCAGGCTGTGGCAGGGAGCGCTTATAGTGTGCCAAAGCATTTCAGTGAACTGCTTTTCCCAGGTGCTTTTGCCTCCTAGAGTCGTCCTGCCTCTCACTGTATCTAGAGAGCAGCAGTGAAATGGAACCTCCAGTTTCAGAGACACTATACCTGGCTGACATGGGAGGGGGGCAAAATCAGGGAGGGCTTATGGCCTTCAGGCCCTGCTTCTGGGTGTCTTGTAGGCATGTGGCTGGTCATTATCAGAAAGAGCTTGCTGGACTAGTTGGAGCCTCAGCCTAATCCCATGAGTCCTTGTGTATGTTAGACAATAAGGATGAGACTTGGCATTGATCTGACTCTGTGAGGCAGCCCTCGTATCTTAAATCCTGGGCTCTGTGTGTCATGATTGCATGAGAGTTTGGAAAAGCTGTGCAGTGCAGTACTGGGCACAGAATTCCAACTTTGAGAATTTCAGCATTTATTTTTTTAAAGAACATTTCTAGCCCTTATGGTAAAGAGAGATGTCTGAACGTGACTGGGCAGTCTTGGTCAATCTGGGGGTGATGGTGGTAGAGAAAGATTTCCATTGGCCAGGCAATGCCTTGTACACATCCTTGCCCAATTCCGTGGTGAGAAGAAGTGATATGTGTTAGGTAAAGCAAGTGCTCAAATTTGCATAATTGGCACAAGACTGGTTTAGTGTACATATGCCCTTGTATTCCTTGATCCATATGAGCTGTGTCCATATAGCCTGCTCTGCTAACATGTAATCTGAATACCCACCCCTTTGGTATCAGTGCCTCTTTCTCCACCTCCATTGTACATAAGAAGAAACCTTGCTTTGTTTTTCTGAATTGGTGTGCAGCACTTTCTTGTTATTGCTCTGATCTTGCTTATCCTGGCTCCTTTTGTCTCCAAATAGACTGCTGGGTTGGAATTGGCATCCAAAGCCTTGAAAAAACAATTGCATCCCTCTGAGGATGGAGAAATGGAGCCAAATGGGGAAGTGGCTGCTGCAGAAATAGTCCAGCTGCAGAAGGAGAACAGAGAACTGGAGCAGCAAATTGCAGAGAAGAACAAAGTAAGGGTGCAGTTGGTTGAGGCTTATAAACCACATACCATACTGTGCCAGGCCTTTGGTCCATGTAGCTCACTATCGTCTCCTCTGACTGGCAGTGGCTCTCCCAAGGTACCAGGGAGAGAATGGTATTTCCCAGTACTTGCTAATTAGAGGAGGGGCTGTGATTCAATGGTAAAATGCCTGTTTGCATGCAGAAGGTCTCAGAAATCAGTAGACACGGTGAGCCAGAATAGGCTGAAATACCCAGGGCTTTACTTGCCTAAGTAAACAGGCTCCTGAAGATTAAACACACACACACCCCCCAGATACATCTGATTAGCCACAACTTTCTGTCTTGCACTGTTTTATTGTCTTGCTGGCATGGCAACATCATCTGTACAGCAATGCCACCTGTTCCCATACAGGATCTGTTCCATTTCCAAGGTTGAGTGGCTGCTTTATGTGGATAGCTAATAATAGTGAAATGGTTACCTCCTTCCTGCATAAGGTCTAGCTGGCTTATACTAGGAACCTAGTGGAGAGGATGCAGTTAGTTTCTGTATGAAATGCTAGGTTTGATTATTCCTGGAAGCTGAAGTGTCATATCATTCTGTCCCCCCCCCCCTTAGATGATCAAACAGTTACAGCAGACGATGGCAGAACTAAAGAAGACACTACAGAAAGAACTGGTAAGCTCACCCCAAACTGCCCACCAGCCTGAATCTAGACTTCTTCAGCTCTGTGCTCTTTTGAAAGTGCAATAGCTCCATAAACATTCAAATGTTGCCCTACATTTGAATGTTTATGGAGCTATTGCACTTTCAAAAGAGTAACGGCTTAAGTGGCCAACAAGTGGTAACTCTCTGCCTGATCAAAAGTTCTCCTCCAAACCCCTGGTTTCCTTTATGCCTTCAGGAATGGTACATAAAGTGATAGTGGAAGAAGATATTTGGCTTCCTGATAAATGTGGTTTTATAAAAAAAACCCTGCAAGTTTCTAAGACTGCAAAAGTACTCTTCAAAATATTTGTATAGTCTGTGCTGAAATCTCAGAAGCCAGAGAAGAAGCTGAATATGATTCTAGAGGTCAGGGTTTGGGGGGGGGGGGGGGGGTCAGTGGTCTTACCCCCGGCTGTAACTACCACAGCCAGGATAAGTGACTGAAAATAGCAAGCATTTTAGAGTAAATTACACAGAATAATAAACTATGCAAAAGTTGTGGAATAATGGCTTTCCTTGGAGGAAGATGGAAATTGCCTGGGAGCTGAATTTCATTTAACCACCACCTTTCCAACAAAATACATTCTCAAGTGATATGGAAAAAATAAAATCGTACCATTCATAATTTAATTTGGTTCTTTTCCATATTATTGTGTTAAGGATAGTAAAAATCCTAGTCATTTCACAAATCTACACCTTTAATGCACCTGAATCTCACAAACTAGTGGAAGCTAATTATGTAGTTAGCCCTTTGGAGAATGTTCAGTTGTGGCTTCCAGTCTGTGAGCAGGCACAGCTGGAAGACTAACATTCCTTTTCTTGTTCCTTTCCTAGCAGTGAGGCAATTTCCCTTCTTGCAGAGAGCTTGTTGTCATGAAAGGATTGGAGAAAAGCATGCAGTGGTATCTGGTCTGTCAATTTATGGCAGAGGGTGAACTTTCACCAGGCCTTTTAATCTGGCACTGTGTTCTTTTCAGAAAATCCGACCAGACAGTGAGGTCCCAGAAGTGCCCAATGCTGCCTTGACTGTGACAAACAACTCAGACCTGAATGACTCCCGGGAGATAAACTTTGAGTATCTAAAGCACGTGGTCCTAAAATTTATGTCCTGCCGAGAATCAGAGGTAAAACAAAGTGTTGCTTAATGCTTTTGCTATTTCTCTCCCCCCATCCTTTTCATCTTGTCTGTGGGGAGTTCCACAAAATTCCTAAAGTTGCTTTTTAAGTAAAACAAAGGAAAGCAAGAGATTAATTCAGATTAAACAGTTTGTGTTAACCTTGTTGTAAAGTCTTCGTGCCAGAATGGACCACAAGCAGTTTAGCTGAAGATTGCCTTGTTCATTTGGAACCAAGATTGAACAGAAATAGACTGTCTTGCCATATGAAGCTGCCATATTAGTCCATCTAACAGTATTGCATTGGCTGCCACTGGTTTGCCAAGATTTCTCCAGATTCCGCCCAGCTATGCTGGGAATCAAAGTATGTGCTCTGCCACTGAGCCATGGTCCTTGCCTTAATGGAAAGTAAATGGGATACTGTTTTTTAGCTACCTGGCCTGGCTTCCATGATCAAAGTTGAATGCCTGCCTCTCCCTCCGTGAGCCCATGTGACAATTCAGATTTGTTCAGTAGACTTTTCTGGTTGTGCTCTCTGTGCTATTGTTTTCTATAGCAGCACCCTTGTTGGGGTTTTGCAGGACCTGTAAAACTCCCCCCCCCAATACATTTATCTGGACTATTTGTGCTGGCATTAGTAGCTTTAAGCTCAGCTTTCAGTCTTTCTAGGTATTTATTTTTTGCTTTTATAAGTTGCCTTGACATGAAGAAAGGCAGGATATACTTTTTTTAATGAAGGGGCTGTGTGTAATGACCCACTGTGCCTTTGCTGCTGTGTTTTAGGCATTCCACCTCATCAGAGCTGTGTCTGTTTTGCTGAACTTCTCTCAGGAGGAAGAAAGCATGCTCAAGGAGACCCTGGAGTACAAGGTAAGGCTTGATCTCAACTCTCAGGAACTGTTCACATGTGCACCTGCATCACTGGACAACTTGGTGTATGCAAAACTATTATCAAAACCCCACCAGCAGAGCTTTCATTACCGTTCCTCATGCAACTCCTTCCCAACAATTCATACATTTATTGGTACGCCATCGTGTAGTTGAAGCACTGAGCAATGCTTGCCTGCATATGAATTAATCCTTTAAGTTGGACGTTGGCTTTGTGGTTGTTTGCATGTACAGAGCATTAGAACTAAATGTGTGAATTGCTGAGTCTTCATCCTGTGGGTATGTTGGCTGCATCCTCCCCTTTTTTTTTCTTCTGTTCAATGGAGCATTTTTGTCCAGATTTTAAATGCTAGTATGCCTTTTCAAAATCTCCAAAATATTAATCTTTTTAGCATCTACTGATTAAACTATGCCTGCTCACTGTCTCTTGTTTTTGAGCGTGTTCTTCCCAAATGCCTTTGCTTAAACTGATTTCTTTCCTTATTGCTATGATCTCTTATTACTATGCCATTAGCTCTGCACCCCTGCTCTCTTCAGCCCCTTTGTTCCCTCTACTCACTCTGTAAAAGTTTATCAGCTGCTTTCACATAGTATACTTTTCCCCATTTTCGTTTTCTGGCTGTCCTGTCCACAGTAACCCTAGTTTGTAGGACTACTTCTTACAGTGAAAGAAGCCTCCTAGCCTCTCTATTAAGTTTGTGGTCCCCAAAACAATTACTGATGTATGTCCTCATCACAGTGCAGCTCCTTTCTGTTGGTTGCTCTTTTGATAAAGGCAATTGAGGCCAGTCTGTTAAAGGAAGCTGCACACAAGCCACGATCCAGGCTGAGTGAAGAGCAAGAGCATGTAACCCTCCAAGCCCAGTTTGTTTCTGCAACCAATCATGTCTTACTAGTAGGGATTTTTTACTTAAGGGAAAGATGTATCATTTCGCAGCCTGGGTCTTCTACTTCAAATGGACTAATCACAGGAAGCCTGGTTTTAGTTAGCAAACCAGAGTAGAGGTTGAAGGTTTACATTTCCTTTTCCCATGTGGCTCTGGTCCAAATTAAAATCTGATTGCACAATTTACCTTAATCCTCCATCATGTCTGTTTTGGCCCTAGGATAGTGATTTCCTAAGGGAACAGAAGTTCTCTCTTTGTTGGAGAAGTGGGCTGGAATTGAGGCTCTTGAGGAATTGAGGGGCACAGGTGCTTGTCTCTGCTTTGGGGGACCAGTGGCCACTAAGCGGCTGCTTTCATTCTGATGCCTTGAAAAACACATGGCCTCTTAGCGGTGAAAGAACTGCTGTGCTCCAGAATAGATGCATGATTGCTCAGGACTACCGTTTGAGCTACAAGTGTGATGGTGTTGTGCTTTCCCCCTGCCAGATGTCCTGGTTTGGGTCAAAACCATCTCCCAAGGGCAGCATCCGACCCTCCATCTCAAGTCCCAGGACCCCATGGTCATGAATGGCTCCAAAGAATGCACTGGCTACCCGCCCCTTCGGTTGTTCTTTCTTTCTAGGAAAAGGATACTGCACCTGTCAATTAAGGTGTGTCTTAATTATGCTCACCATAGTATTTTGTATAAGAACTTTGAAAAACTGTTTACAAAACTGTACTGTAAAAGGGAGTGTCCTTTGCTACAACTGACTCCCTCTCGGTGGGGTTGGAAGTGCTGAAGCGGACAGTGAAGTAGCTGGCTCTCGAGGCCTTGGGGAACCAAAGCGCCACTTTTGTGGAGGCCGTGCCTGTGAGCCTGGGATGCATTTTTCTTCCTGTCATCACGAAATGCGTATCTTTTAAATGAGCGTGGGGTTGCATCACTCCTGACAGTGTAAAATCCTCCAGCGCTGAGAGGCTCTTCTGCCTCTTCTCAGACCAAACTGTTTGCTTATTAACACAGCTGCTGGAAAGAGCATATTTGAACTTCCAGCAGGATAACACAACTTTTTGCAGAGTTGGCCACCTTTATTTTTCTTAAAGAAAAATAATTCTAAATGGTCTTTATGACGTAACTATTCAGTTGCCTTTTAGATTATAGTAGTAGAGTGTACAGATGGGAACATAAGGGGGCTGCTGCAGTAGATAAGAGCTTCTGTTTCAGCTGCAAATTTGCTTTATGGGGGCTGGTGCACCATTCTGGGCATGGTGACATAAGCTGCTTCAGACATATCTTTGTTCACATGCTGTCAGCAGAAGCAACATGAACAACTGGAGCTGCTGCTCTAATTGTGAATGAGTTTTTTTAAAAAGACACTACACACAGGGACGCCTTCGATATGGTGCATTTGAGAGCAGAAACTTAGTTCAATTTTCTTTCTTTGGTAACTTAAAAACCAACATCGAGCTTGGAAGCTACAGTTTAACTGAAGTATACAAACAAGATACTATTATGTGCTATACAGAAGGCTGACCATGTGAAACAGCACCTTGCAGAGCTTCATATTGCTAAGCAACAGGTTTTAATTTTTACCAACTGCTTAAGAAACTGACACTGTTAAGTTTGAAAGGGGGGTCTTCCTTTCCATGAGGAATGCAGAGTAAACTTTCAAATAGGTGGCTCAGTCAGCCCTTTTTAGAGCCAGTTTTAAGATCACAGCATAGAGATGCCTCTCGTAGCTCAAGTGTTGATTTTTTTCAGCTATCAGAGCAGAACTGAGGTTGTGTATATATTCATTAAATAGTAACTGATGCACTTTTTTCTTGTACAAAAAACACATATGGAGTGTATATAAAAAAGCCTTTTTATGGACACTTGGTTTGTCTACCTATTCTGTGTACAGAGGGACTGTATTATGTAATGGCTTGTAGAAAGCTAATTTGTGGTGCAATACATTTTTGATTAAAACTAGAAGCTACCTTGTTACATTCTACTGCCAAGTTGTGTATTTAACCTAAACACTAATTGCCCGACTCACCAGCTGAGAATGAAGTTGGACTTATATTGCTCTTCAGGGTATTGGAGTGGTACCATTCCCTCCTGAAATACGGGTGAATTTTATGCCTTGCCTGATAACTCTGAATACTTGGCCTTCAGTGTTACTAGAAAGATGAATATAGTGGTGCAAGTTTTACATTTCCTTTTCCCATCCATTAACTACTAGAGGAACCAGAAAAGACATTGGAGAACTGAGCTGTCCATATAGAGTTTAAAAGGTGCAGCCTCTGCTCTCCCATATGAGCTTTGTGTTGTTTCCAAGGAAACCCAGGGGATTTTCCTAAATAGTACAGGTACCTTGTAGTAAATTGGCTACAGAGTTCATGTTAGTATATTACATTTAGCTTACTATCCTGGAGAAGATTATACAGGAATCCACTAATGGTTTCAAGAAGAGATTTATTTCAGCATGAGCTTTTTGTGTGTCACACCCCCTATCGACTGGGCTGGGGAAAATGTGCACACAGCTGATTCAGTGAAACGAACATGAGTGCTACAAGACTTAAAGTGGATGTACAGGATCTAATTTCAAATCCATTCTTGGCCAGATATTTTGTAGCACATATAAGAACTTCATGAAGGAGTAGTTAGAGACCAAGCACGGGTAAGCATTATAAGGAACATATAAGGGGCACAGAATTCCTACTTGCCTTCTCCCTCCTTTGCTCACAAATTCAAAAGGGGTATATGGGCCCAGGACAAGAAATATAAGCAACAAGTCTGGTATTTCACTGCCAAATCCCAAAACTTGAGTCCAGATAAATGGGACTAGAGCAAATATTTCCATGTGAGAAGCTACAGAATGAACTAGCCCCCAAGGACATTCAAAATCCATCATGGAATATTATTTATTCTAACCATCCAAGAACTTCTAGATAGAGCAGCAGGCACTTTACATGAAACAAACTCTGTATTTAGTCCAGCTATTCTTATCCATATATACAAAAAGCCCTCTTGCATAAGAAAACCCTCCTCCAGCTCCCAAACCAGCCTCTTGTTTCTCTTGCCAGCCCAGCTCCACCCCTGCCCCCCACCACACACAATTTGTTAAATTTAAATTAAGTCTCACTTATTCACCCAAGCACAGACACACACACACTTGGCCAGAGCAGCCACCATATTGCAGACAGGCACACGCGTATATACCACCCCCATTTCTGTCTCCAGCACAAATTGCAAGTAGTCCCCTCCCAGCTCCTGGATCTGATAGTCAGAAAACATTAATATACTGCACCTCCCCCACCACATCTATGGTTAAAAGTACTTGTTCCAAGAGAGGAAGGAGACTCCCAAAGTATTTCAGTAGATTGTGGATCCTAGAAGTGTAGACCAAAGTATCAGCATAGCCAGTGCCGCCTCCTGGCTCCAAGAGAGTTCTCGATGTCTCAATTCAATTGAATAGAGTTTGTTAAACAGTTTTTCGTGCAGTAAGAACTCTTACTATGGATCCTAGTCCACCTACTGCTAATGCCTGAGGAATGAGAGAAAAAGAAACACAGATATTAGTTTAGGGGCCAGTCCCAAACAAGCACATTTCTCAGAACATATGAAACAGCTCTAAAGGACTTTAAGGTCACTACTGGCCCTGGGTTCATGGAGCAGTTTTTATATCCAAAATAGTATCTCTTCGCAGTTCATTCTTTTGACTTTAGCAGGAATACTACCTCTCTCCTAACCCCCATCTTTTAGGCCTCTGCTGTCTGAAGCCAAATTTTCTATCCCTAGTGCTCTTAAGTTAAGGAAGGAAGGATATAGGTAAAAGAGGACCTGAAGGAAAACAAATCAGTTCCCTCAGGGCACCGCAATTCATGGTTTTCCTAATCAAACATTCTAACAAACCTGCTATTTCTTCTCTTGGACACTGCATACAGACTATACCTAGTCTGGGCCTTTCTCACTAACTGAGGTAAACAATTACAGAACATGAACATTTCCAAGAGGCGGGGGGGGAAGCATATTTGTTAGCTTTTATGCTGTTCTGGGAACTCAAAGTCAGTAGTTCTAACTTTCAGCCTCTTCGTGTGAAATCTGTGCATAACTGAACCCAGCTCAAGACAAAAGCAATTCCATATATTCATCTAAAAGGACCAAATTAAGTGTATAGCTATAATGCAGGCTCTGAGCCCAAGCCAAAAGGCTGGGGGACAGCTGAAGCAGAGTCTATGTGGCAGGAGGAGAGAGAAAGCACATCTCATCTACCATCAGAGCTCAAAACATTATTTGTTCAGTAGAAGAGGAATAATGTAAGCTACCAGAAGCTCCCTTCCCTTATCAATTAAGGCATCTCCATGGAGCAGACAATTGTAGTCAACACCTATTGTACGTGTATGCATGAGCAGAAAAGACATGCAAGGTCAGTTTCTGCAGCCCTGCTGGTGAAACTACTTTGAGCAACTGTGGCTTCCTATCTTCAGACAGTAGCATTTGCTCATGGCAACTGTAAGAAGTCTCACCATAAGGTACACATTTTACCCTTGCAGAATGACACAAGTAAAGGTTTGCCTCAGATGCTGTTCCAGAACTTTTGGAAATGCTTTGCTACTCTGAGAATTTGGGAAGGGGGGGGGGCTGTAAACCACACACATGCAGACTCTCAGCAGTCTTTCCTCCTACCAAACAGGCAGTTTTGTCTGATTTCACAAAACCACAAATGCCAACCTACACTGGCCACAAGCTGCTGTTTCCAATGGAAACAGGAGAGCAAGCAGAAACACTCTCCATGTTGTCATGAGAACAGAGCCTGCAACCACCCCCTGGAATGTCTGCAAGAAAAGCTGCATCTGTGAACATCAATACTGAGCATAATTTCACCAGTAGGCTTTGGAAAGCTATTCACAGCAGAGGTCATATACTCCTCCATCGTGCCAATACTATAGGGCTAAGACCAGTTCTACAGCTTATGCACAGAAGATGCCTTCCTCAAGAAACCAGATCTTTCCCCTCTGCTCTAATCAGGCCGATTCCAATAGGCATAGTAGCATCCTTCACAACATCCCTCCCACCTTCTGACTAGAATAAAAGGACTCAAGAGTTCTGAATTTCCACTCGTGTCTGACAAAGGGAGCTTTGACTCTTGAAACTCTTGTTGGTCTCTAAGGTGCTTCTGGACTCGACCCTGTTTTACAGCAGACCAACATGGCTACCCCCCGAAACTATCTTCATGGGTGGACTGCGTGTTACGCACACAGCTTCTGTCTGTTGTTTCGGCACTGCAGAGTACTACCACTAGTACAAATGATTCCTTGGAGGCGACAAGAGCCTTCTTGCCCAGGATCCCCTGAGCTGAAGCATAAAACGTTTCCCTGCACCTTCTCTGCCAGTCTGGTGTGTTGGGGAACAAAGCTGTGGCCTAGGTGGATCTTACCTATTAGAGAGTGCTAAAGCATCACTGTGGAAAAATTCTAGAAATCCTCAGCTCCCTACTTAGAAGTGCCCTGAAATTCTGTACAAACTGTTACCATGATACGGTTTCTCTCAACATGATACAGCTTCTCTCAACCTTAATAACCTGCTCTACTACCTCATCGAGGATCTGGACTCTATGGCTGCATGTGGAATGACAACAAAAAAGTGGACAATCATTCAAAAAGCCATTAGCTTTCAGGCAGGCTGAAGGACAGAAATCACATACCTTTTCATGCCACTGAAGTAGTATTGCACTGCTATTTTCTGTTGGCTTTTCAAATCCTTTATATATGTACTTCATTAACAAATCAATACCATTTCTGTCTAAGGAGTTTACTGCCTGTTCTATCTCGCTGCCTTTAAAAGAGGTGAGGACCTTCATCACCACTTCCTGGGCCCGCTCCTGGAGAGAGATGCAAGGAGAGTGAGGCCACAAATACAACCTAAACTCATAACAGCTATTTCCCAGCAACTAATGTAACAGTGAAGAGACTTGACAAAAAGAGGGCTCCCACAGCAAGGCACCTGCTACCCATTAGGAAAAATGCCATACTTTCACAAGGGATTTTAAGCACCAGTCGTGTCATGCCCATAAGATCTGATTTAGTGACCTTAATATTTTATTACAGTGATGGCCAAAGACACTGCTTACCTTTGCTGCTGGGTTCTTAGTGTTGCTGGGCGAATTCTGTAAAGCCATGTGGAATGCTCGGAGCATGTCTCCTGTGCGGCAGAGCAAGTTAAAGAGCCAGCCACTGAGTAGAGAGAACCCATCAGACCCAAGACCAGACCCTCAAACTGGGATTTGAACTAACTGGCAGTCAATGCTTTTTCAGCATAATCTTGTCCCCTTAAACCCCTAGGAAATACTGATGCTGTAACTAATGAATTAGAAAGCAAGCTAGGATTCAGTTCAGGAAATGAAACGTAGAAACCCAGTTTTTATCAACAAGACTTCCCCTCCACCTTAACTCCTGGGGGAAATGCTTCTTAGGTATGAGTTCTGTGATGTCTTAACAATTGCACTTATCAGACAAACAAGGGAGAGACATTTACACTTGAACAGGACTTCCAAAAATAAAATTCCTTTGCTTATTTCTAAATGTTGTTTTCTGCATTACATGTCTGATTATCTAAAAATTACAAAGCACCCCTGTTTGCAAGCAAAGGTTGTTTTTGCTGCAAGGTTAATTTCCTCCACTCATTTTTAAAGCAGTTCTTCATATAAAAATCACCGGAAACCCTTTGTCACCCAAAGCAAGTGTGACAGGACTGGCAGTCTTTCAGATCAAAAGAACTCTTCAACTGATTTTATAACTCTCCCACTATTATAACAAATTGGATTTTAATAATATTTTTCCTTAAAAAAAACTTTTTAAAATTTTCCTTCTGTACTTGCCAGAAAGCTAAGCAATAAGGAAAAAGCATCAAGGGAGCATGTACATTTAAAAAAACCCAAAACACTAGACTATGCTGGTAAAAACCAATAGCCCGCATTTATTGTTAAATCTCTATGTATGCTCTTTTTTTAAATTATTAGCTTTACTCAGCTGAAATAAGTAAAAGCCTGAACATGCTCTGCCACTACTCTTTGTGGCCACAAGTAGTTTAAATCCATATTAAATTCGCATACCTCATAATAAACTGAGAAACACTGATACAGATTTCCATACATTATCCCCCCCAACATAGAGAAGGAAAAGTGTCACCTGTTTCAAGCCACCTGGCTAGCATGTACATCCCCCTCCCATACTTATAGATCTACAAACAAGTAGCAGCTGCACACCCAACAATTCAGAGATCTTTCCCTGTTAAAGCATTTTGGGCTGTTGCGGTGGGGATCATGCTTTGTGCACTGAAGTCCTTGCGCCTCTGAAAAAACTAGTCTGGACCCAAGCCCCTGGCTTAGCTATCCTCAAAATACAGCCCCTGGAACGAATGCTAGTTTCTTCCAAAGACCTTTCAGCCAACAATAAGGTCTTACAAACACTATGACTTTAAATATCCTCCTCCTCCCTTTTCATCCTTTTTAAGTGAACATCCAAGCCTACTGAAGAATTCAGTAGCTTTCAATGTGGTATTTTGGTTGATACTAATAAAAAGTAATACATTACTTTTTTTTCTGTACAGCAACCTATAATCTCTCAGGGTCTTTCAAACTCAAACTGTGTCACCTCACCAAACACACAAAAAGTTTCATAAAGCTGCAGCTAGTATAGAATGCAGTGTCTAGACTGCTGATGGGGGCCAGTTATCAGGAGTATGTGGCCGCACTATTATAGCAATTATACTGACTACTGATCCAAACCCAATTCAAGGTGTTGGTTTTGTCCTTTAAAGCTCTAGATGGCATGGGACTAGGGTATCTGAAGGACCGTCTTCTCCCACATGTTCCTGCCTAGGAATTATGATCACACAAAGTGGTCCTCCTGACGGTCCCATCATCCAGAGCTCATTCGGTGGGTACATGAGAGAGGGCAGTGGCAACACCATAGTTATAGAAAAACCATCCCCATGGAGTTACACCTGGCCCCCCTCACTTTCAATCTTTGGGAAGCAGTCAAATAAGATTTTATGTAGGACTGTATTTGATTAGTTTGATGGCAGTCTTCATTTGTGGTTTAAATTCTGGGTTTTATTATTGTTATTTTATTTACAATGACAGCTGTCTTGAATTCCATAGGATGAAAAGGCAGCTCGTGGCAGAACAGGCCTGCTCTGGCCTACAGGCCCTATTCCACCCTGTCTTCCAAGGTTTTACCTAACCCCTGCAGAGGCTTCCTTTCTCTCTCTGGTAACTTGCCATCACTATCTGACCTTTGTAAGGAATTGCCCTCTGGGAAGATCAGGGCTCCCAGCTTCCCTTCCAAGTTCTGAGGCCTTGCCTCTGTGTCTCCCACTGCTCAGTGCCTGGTCACCATGGAGACAGTTTACTGCCTTGTGCACCCTTGGAGGAACAGCCACACCAACTACCTGCCTTCGCCCTGGCGCTCCTTTCAAAATAGTTTGTCTGAGACGGTGGAGGTCTATGTGGTACAGAGAATCACTGCCAGCATCTTAAGTTGTAAAGTATTTATTAAAAAGAAAATGTTCACAAGCATACTTTTAGCACAGCACCAGATTGAACAAGGGATCCAAAAGAAATTGGCAAAACACAACTCTTCTGTCCCTCTCTGTACATCACCTATCAGATATTAAACTCTAGGACAGACTCCATAAGCTTAGGATGCTACAAATCTCTACAGAGTTTTCGTTACCTTGAAGCTTGCTCCAGCTCTTTATGCAAGCCCATGGTCAAATGCTGCCTTCCTAGTGTAGAGGTCTGTGTCCACTCCTGGACTCAGCACCCAAAGAAAAGAGACCTCCTTCCTGCTGCAAGGAGTTTTCATCACCTCCCTTTTCCCCACCCCGTGACCAGGGTCAGGCCAAAAAGGAGACTCTAGCATTCTGTTCCTCCAAATCTCTGTTCCCTGCTTGGAGAAGTGGAAAAACTTGACCCACCCATTATTTCTCCAGCCAGATCCATTAGCATTTGTATGAAGGTGAGCTGAGGTATGTCTGGGAAGCAATTGAACTGACTCCCCACCTTCTTTTCTGGGGGGGGGGGGCTTTAAAATGCAGAGTGGAGGTTTTGCTCATTGCAAACCTCCCAGGAAAAAATGCATTTCTTCACATGGCTAAAAAATGTTTAAAATAAATAAAAACTGCTGAGCAAAGCATTAAAAACACAGGATTCTGATTTACAACTATGGCACATCACAAAGGTTTAAACTGGCAAGTCCATAACTGTCTGATACCACCCTAGTGATTCACCATTTCATCCTACAGAGCCCAGCCCTGTTGAAAGACCAGGAAACCTCTTTTTCCAGTGATGAAGTGACTACACAGGTTTTGCTGTTGCACACCAGATGGAGAAGCCCTTTGCTATTATACCTGGCACAGCTATCTTTTTATTGACAGAGGACAAATAAGACAAACATTCCCACTATACTAGCAGCAGGAAAAGCCTGGCCTGATGCCACTGTCTTCCCCTTTTAAAAAAGTGCATATTTGCCCTGACCTGGATAGCCCGGGCAAGCCCAATCTTATCAGATCTCAGAAGCTAAGCAGGGCCGACCCTGGCAAGTATTTGGATGGGAGACCTCCAAAGATGACCAGGGCCTGGAGGCAGAGGCAGGCTATCAAGCCACTTCTCCGAATGTCCTCCATGCCCCAGTAGGACTCGCCATGACTTCCAGGTATGGGCACACAAATGCAACTGCAGAGTTCAAATAGAAAGAATATTGTCCACAGACATTTTGTTCTTGTCTTCCATGCAGTCTCTTAATAAATGCAGCAATCTGGGTTACATCCCAAAGAGATACATGGCAGTTATTTTGAGCATCATATCAGCTAAGTTCTAATATCTCATTACAAACCGTGTCGGCCTACCTAAGACATTTTTTCAGAAGACATCTCAAAGGGACCTAATATTCACTCCCTATAATACGACTACTTAACACTGGAGATCTTGCAAATTCTGGAATAATTCTAACCAGGTTGTCTTGTCTTGCTCACTAAGAAATGGAGACCAGATCCAAAATCATACACATCACTACCACTTCAGAGTTTTTCAGATGTCCTACCCCCACAGAACCCTTTCTGATAAAGTGGGCTCTAGTCCAACACAACTTATGCTATAACAACCAACCTGTTTTTAAGGTGCCACAAGACTCTTATTTATTCTTTCCACATACATTTATCTGCTATGTAAGAAAGTTATATTTGTTGCAGATTCTTTGTGTGTTGCAGAAGATTCCAGAACATGCTGTGTTCACAAAGGCACTGGCCAACCTGTTGGGCCTCCCCACTGCTTTATATGAGCTGAATGTGCTGTGAATTTCAAGGAAAGAGAGGCAGTGGTGGACAATTCCAAGGGGGTAGCCAGGTTAGTTCTACTGCAGCAAAATAAAACAGAAATTCAAGGGTATTTTAAAGACTAACAATATTTATTTCAGTATGAGCTTTTGTGAGTTACAGCTCACTTCTCCAGATACTATGAAGGATGCTTGTCTATCATTAATCTTCTGGAGGAACTTCTGGATTCTTCAGAACACAGAATGATTTATGTTGATTTACAAGGAGCCAGTTATTTCAGTATCAAAAATATTAACCCCAGAGGAAGCACAAATACAAATAGACGGATGTTCCAGATACTTGAACCAACTTAAGTTGTCCTCAGCAAAACAGTATAGAGTCCCACATACTCCATTTAATTAAAAAAAAACCTTTATGAAAACCATGGCAGAAAAGAGCTGAAAAGTTGCAAGCTGCCAAGTAAAGGAGAAATTACTCCCTGCTAGAGCCTTAAAAACACTGGAAAATGGGCCTCAAATTGTTTAGTGTTGAGAACCTCTTGAATGTTTACATTTCTGCTTTGTTCTGCCATTTTGAGCAACGTGCAGTTCTTCCTCACGACACTTATGACCATACAAAGATATTTTGAATTGGGTATAGATGGCTCAAATTATTAGGAGCTAAGACCCCTCAGAGTAAACCAACAGCAAAAATACTATACATAAAATGTGTACTGCTTGCACCCACAGATGGGCTGCCAATACCTTTGATTCTATAGCATTCCACTATTACAGCTTCGGAACATGTCAGCTGTCATTAATGAGGGAGCATTGTTGCACCTCACACTGTTTCCAGGCTATCAGCAATCCCTAGCAAGACATCAATCCTGCACTATGGTTACACTTGAACACCCTAAACAGTCACTAATATTTTTAGAAGAGGCTTTTATTTTGCTCCAGGAAATAAAAGAAATAGCAGCTTTCTCATCTTTACCTGTGCCGTATTCTAATATATATATTCTATTGCATATATATTCTATACACACACACCCCGCCTTCTCTTTCAGGATTAGCAACATGCAGAGTAGCATTTGCTGACCCTAACCAGCCAAGACAAACCCACCCAAATCATGACACTTGCTGGAGCTGGTAAAACCAGTTTTGTCTTGCCCAACTCAGTTCCACACATGATGGCTATATGCATCACAATCTTGCATGGGATTATCACTGGTGACACACCATGGGCAGCTACAGGGTGAGGCTCATCTCATACTACAGCACCCTGTCCCATATCACCATTTTGTCTTTACACACATATCCCTGCCCTATCATTTACAGCCCTACAAGTTAACACATCTGTTTCAAGTCAACCCTGTCATTAGAGAATCCTGGGTTGCACAGGAGGCGAGAACATGCCACACACACTGCTGCAAACAGTAACCATAACACCCCGAGCAGCTTCCAAAGGCTGCAATTATTAAGCACAGTTTAGCTGTCTGAAGGTAGCCTTAGCCTACCTTTTATGGTCGTCTAGCATCAGGTCCACCCCTTTCTCCCAAACTCAAGGTCTAGTTCTTGTTGCACAGGGATAAAGAGGAAGAGAAAAGGTGGACACCATGAGGATGAGTTACTACACTGTAGTAAATATCATAGACATGGCAGGGGCAGCAAGACAGCTACTGTAGATTATCTTGGATCACACTTTGCAGCCAGCCAGTCAACTGGGGCAAGTCCTCTCTAGACAATCAGGCACAAAAATCTTTTAAAAGCCATTACTTTTCCACCAACACCCCTGAGTGTAAATGAGTTATGTTAAGGCACATAAAGGTAAGAGACCTAATAACTTCTCTCAGCTCAGTTACACGGCCCATACCATTATTAAGGGGAATGAGTGTAAATTTCCATTAAAGTTGTTACCAGTCCTCTAAAACCCAGAATAATGGGACATGCGGTACCCTAAAAACCGGGGGGGGGGGGGAGGCAATACTCCAAAACGCATATAGAAAATATTCCTAAATGCACGAAGAGGGAAGAAGAAAGTGCGTAAGAGAATGAATGACCCTACGTGGACGGAGATCGGAATACCCCAAAACACAAGGGGAAAGAAGAGGGCTCCCAGAACACAGAGGCAGAGGAGAAAAGGGCAGAGGAAAAATACCCCCCGCCCCCCCAAAAAACAACCACCCTTAAGGTGTAAGCAGAAGGGGGTGGGGGAGAGGAGAATACCTGTCTACAAAAGAAAGGACATGGATTTTCTAAGGGCGAGGTTATCTTCACGAGCTTAGAAGTGCGGGGCGGGGGTGTCTCTTCCCATCCCCCCGGTAAAGGATATTGCCGCAGCGCCGCCTCCACCTCCGGGCCAGGCCCTCCGTCAGCCTCAGAGGCGCCAGCCCCAGTGCCAGTGTCGGCCCCGTCGGGCTCCTCCACGAAACGGTTCTCGTCGAACTGGTCGATGTCCAGGCGGCGGAAGCGCGAGGAGAGCGAGTTCCGCGCCATGACAGGCCGGGGCGAGAGAAGGGAACGTGAGGCGAGGACAGCCCCCCGGGCACCGCTGCTCCGACCGCCGCCACCGCCGGGCCTCCCCCTCCCACGCACCCACCGGAAGCGGAAATGTCGACAGAGGAGGCCGAAGGGAAAACGTGACGAACGGCGGCGCCAGCCAATCCCCGCGCGGCGCAGAGTGGGAAGTCTGAAAAGGGGAGGAGCGTCGCCTCAGGAACGGTCGCTGAGGTCCCAAGTTGCCCCGCCTTCGTCTTGCCGCCTCCCACGTGAAAGCTCAGCGAGTTGCCGGGAGCAGGCAGTTAAATCTCTCGATTGGGGTTAAATAAAGGTATTTTATTCGTTTTATCGGACGTGTGTATGACGCTGTCTAAACTCATTTGCCCAAGGCGGTTTCCAATAAAACCGAAAATTGCAATTCAAGGACAAAACACAGTAAATTGCACCAGTTCACACGAGCGGTCGTCGCTCCGTCTCTCCCCCGCCTTGATGCACCCAGTCTTGTCATCTCCATGGAAACGGGTAGCGTCGGACATCAGACGCGAGAGGCGGCTTTTGCCCCTTGGAGTTAAACGCCAACACCACCAAAGGCTCAGGCTCAGGGCTCCCTCCCATCAGACACGAGAGGTCATTCTGGCTCCCCCAGCCCTCGGAAGGGGCTCTTTAAAAAGATATCGCCGCCGCCCCAAGCAGGGACGGCGGAAACGGCTGCCGGGGGGGGGGCGCGACTGGTTCCCTTTAACACCTTTATTTAACCCCAATCGAGAGATTTAACTGCCTGCTCCCGGCAACTCGCTGAGACGAAGGCGGAGCAACTCGCTGAGACGAAGGCGGACCTCAGCGACCGTTCCTGGGGCGACGCTCCTCCCCTTTTCGGACTTCCCACTCTGCGCCGCGCGGGGATTGGCTGGCGCTGCCGTTCGTCACGTTTTCCCTTCGGCCTCCTCTGTCGACATTTCCACTTCCGGTGGGTGCGTGGGAGGGGGAGGCCCGCAGGTGGCGGCGGTCGGAGCAGCGGTGCCCGGGGGGCTGTCCTCGCCTCACGTTCCCTTCTCTCGCCCCGGCCTGTCATGGCGCGGAACTCGACCAGTTCGACGAGAACCGTTTCGTGGAGGAGCCCGACGGGTCCGGCACTGGGGCTGACGGAGGGCCCGGCCCGGAGGTGGAGGCGGCGCTGCGGCAATATCCTTTACCGGGGGGATGTTTGCAGCAGTGTGTGCGGCATGTTCTCGCCTCCTGTGCAACCCAGGATTCTCTAATGACAGGGTTGACTTGAAACAGATGTGTTAACTTGTAGGGCTGTAAATGATAGGGCAGGGATAAGTGTGTAAAGACAAAATGGTGATATGGGACAGGGTGCTGTAGTATGAGATGAGCCTCACCCTGTAGCTGCCCATGGTGTGTCACCAGTGATAATCCCATGCAAGATTGTGATGCATATATCCATCATGTGTGGAACTGAGTTGGGCAAGACAAGACTGGTTTTACCAGCTCCAGCAAGTGTCGTGATTTGGGTGGGTTTGTCTTGGCTGGTTAGGGTCAGCAAATGCTGCTCTGCATGTTGCCAATCCTGAAAGAGAAGAGAATATGGCGCAGGTAAAGATGAGAAAGCTGCTATTTCCTTTATTTCATGGAGATGAGCAAAATAAAAGCCTCTTCTAAAAATATTAGTGACTGTTTACGGTGTTCAAGTGTAACCATAGTGCAGGATTGAGGTCTTGCTAGGGATTGCTGATAGCTTGGAAACAGTGTGAGGTGCAACAATGCTCCCTCATTAATGACAGCTGACATGTTCCGAAGCTGTAATAGTGGAATGCTATAGAATCAAAGGTATTGGCAGCCCATCTGTGGGTGCAAGCAGTACACATTTTATGTATGGTATTTTAGCAGGAGTTTTCTAGAATTGGAATTACAGGCCCCACAGTGGAATGACAGCCCCTGGGGGTAGCAGGAGTCTTCTGGGACTGGAATGACAGGCCCCACAGACGATTGACAGCTCCTGGTGGGAGCTGGAGTGTTCTGGGACTAGAATGACAGGCCCACAGTGGAATTAGAGCCCTTGGGGGTAGCAGGAGTGTTCTGGGACTGAGGCCTGTTTGTCATTCCAGTCCCAGGACACTCCTGCTACTCCCAAGGTCTGTCATTCCACATTGGGGCCTGTCATTCCACCCTCAGAACACTCCTGTTACCCCCAGGGGCTGTCATTCCACTGTGGGGCCTGTCGTTCCACCCTCATAGCCCATCTGCTACCTCCAAGGGCTGTCATTCCACTGTGGGGCCTGTCATTCCACCCTCAGAACACATCTGCTACCCCTAGGGGTCATACCTCACCCCCAAACGGAGACAGAGGTTGAAAGAGCTCACCTACTTAGCTCTGTGCCAGGTTTGGTCAGGTGCCTCGTTTCCACACAGGGCTTAGGCTGGGAGATGCTGCATGGGATTTTGCTTGGCAGGGTCAAGTACATCCTTCCTCAGGCAGGACAGAGAAGCTCCAATGTAATCAGCCTACTGGGACTATTTGTGGTGGACTTAATGGCCAGCCCCCCCGCGCCACCCCCCCCGAGTTGACCAGAAGTAACTAGAGATGCTGTGAATTCCAAGTCGAACTTACCCTGTTTAACTGTGCCTATTGGACATTAGGCCATCACCAAGACTGTCCAGTTTGGCACTGACCAGCTGGAGTGCCCGCAGAACAGGTTCATTGTAGTAGTCCTTAGTAACACAAATGGCTGCTGGGCTTGTTCCCATTGGCAGCAAGAAATCATTCTGGCTTCCCCAGCTCTTGTAAGGGGCTCTTTAAAAAGATATGGCCGCTGCCAGAGGCAGCGGAGGCAACGGCTGCGGGGGGGGGCGTGAAAGGTTCCCCCGCCTCCCTGAGCCCCGGGGCGGTGGCCTTGTACTCCTGGGGCAAAAGCCGCCTCTTGCGTCTGATGTCCAAGCGTTGCCGCTCGAACATCAGATGCGAGTGGTCATTCTGACTCCCCCAGCTCTCGTAAGGGGCTCTTTAAAAAGGTATGGCCGCCGCCAGAGGCGGCAGCGGTAATGGCCACGGGGGGGCGTGAAAGGTTCCCCCGCCTCCCTGAGACCAGGGGTGGTGGCCTTGCACTCGTAGGGGCAAAAGCCGCCTCTCACGTTTGAGAGACACGTCAGATGCGAAAGGTCATTCTGGCTCCCCCAGCTCTCCTAAGGCGCCCTTTAAAGAGTTATGGCCAACGGCCTTGCTGGCCCCTTTCAATGTTGCCGGAGGGGAGGGGGAAGGCGGTGCCGCTGGAGGTGGTCCTTGGGGGCGGAGCTGGGTGTGGGGAAGTTCCACTCCCTGACTTCTCTTCTTTGAAGACGCCCCCTGCCCCCCTCCGGGAACGCCTCCTCATGGCCCCTGGCTGGGACGAAGGCGGTCCTGGCCACCCTTCGCCTAGGCAAAGCTCCCAGTCGGCCTTTTGCTTCCCGCGTTGCTCTTGCTGCTCTCCCTCGGTTCATCCCTCGGGAGAGATCCACCGCTCTTTTATCCACGGAGTGCACTTCAAGACGCCGCTCCCCCAAGTCCGCTGCCAGAGCCCTTTCCCTGGTGACCAGAGAATCCTCCACCCCCTTTAGTGGTGTGGATTTCTGTCCCACTGTGGGTCGCACCCTCCCTCACCCTGTTTCCTCCTCCTCCTCCTCCTCCCATATCCTTCCCTCCCTGCTGTCCACTCTCCTGGCCTTGGGAGAAGTTGGTCCTGCCGTGGGAATGGGGGCGGGCTCAGCTGGGCCTGGTTGTGTGTGCGTGCCTGGGATCGCCGGGGGGGACGACTGGGGGGTCCGAAAGCGCCGAGCTCCGTTGTCTTTGTACCGTGTGGGAATTGGCCCGCCCTGCCGAGCAGTTTCCTGCAGGTGCGCCGGCCGGGCTGCCTGTCCCCCCTGCATCCCGTCACTGCGTGTGGTGAACCGAGGGAGCGTCAGCACTTGCCTGCCAGGGGTTGGGGCTGTGGCTGCGGCAAGGATGGCCATGTGGTGGGGCAAGGATGGCCGTGTGCTCTCTGGCAGCTGTGAGAAGGTCACGCCTTGGGACTGCCTGCATGCACCTCACCCGAGCACAGCCCGTCTTCATCCCACGCGAATCTGTGGCCAGCTAAAGTGAGGTGAGGCTTGACTCTCGTGGGAGGGCTTCCTGACCCCGCATCCCCACTCCTCAGATGTGATGCTGCCTTTGGCTGCTGTACCACAGTAGGGTCTAATGGTTAATGGATTGGGTCTCCCTTGGGGGGGAGGGAAGAGCGAGGAGGACAAAATTTGAGAAAGAGAGAAGATCCAGCTGCAAGACAGAGCTCAAAGGACTTCTTCCTCCCAGCGATAGCTTTGTCTTGCAGCCCCCCCCCCTCCTTTGTTAAAAGCAAGAGGCATCGAGTACATTGGCCCTTCTAGCCCTCTAGCACCTGCCTTTTTCCTTCAGTGGATGGCTTCAGACTGAAATCTGAAGCACCCTGCTTATTTTGATCGATGCATTGGTCTTCCAATTTCCTTTCATTGAGTGCAAGGTGATTCACAGCTCAGGTAATGCCTATGAGAGGATACGCTCAGTGCAGAAGGAAGAGGTGCAGGGCAGTGCAGTGCAGACTATGGAAGAGGAAATGTGCAACTCCAGGTACTCTCAGATCACTTCCATCATTGTTTTCTTTTATTTCATTTATAGCCTGCCTGACTTGATGCACAAAGAAGGATTAGGAATAAAAGGGAAGTAGTAAAATCAGCATAATATATACAACCAATATTGCACCAAAAATACCCTACAATACAGACCATAGTGTAGGAGTTACAAGAGTGGGAAGCAGTGCAGGGAACTGTTAGATCCTGTCCAATAAAAAGTGGATGACAAAATTAGAAAACAATGCAAAAAATAACCCAGCATATAATGCATAGAGGCGTTTGCGTTAAATTAAAGATTAAATCAAAGCATTAAGGCTCATTTCAGAAGCCTACATTCTTATTAAATGAGTTATTACAAATAAAGACTATCTGTCATCCCAGTCCCAGAACACACTTGCTTCACCCTGGGGCTCTCATTCCACTCTGTGGTCTCTCATCCCAGTCCCTGAACACTCCTGCTTCA